GCGTGTCTTGATCTAACAATTAAAAATATCAACAATGCAAAAGTCATGAAGTCTTCTTTCAAGAAGGAAAACTTCTTTTAAGCAATTTAAGCACTAATGATGGGGAGGTTGGTTCATTCACTTATGTGGCTCACTCACTTAGAGATTAAGTTACATTGAGTTAACTAGTTAACTAACTACCTTGCCTGACTAAACAGTGAGTGACGTCTTGGAGGCATTTCAACTTCAATCACTCAAAACATCAACAACTTCATTTATTATTATCTAAATCAACTGCAACTCCATAACAGCTCTGATATCCAAGCAGTTGTTTTATGTGCAGAAGCTTTTACTCCACACCGATAATTCAAACCTCTCAGCTACTATTTTATCCTGTTGTCCTTGGCGGAAGATGCGAGCCTAAGCCATGTCCTTCCGCCGACATCCCGCCAACACGGGTTCGATATCAGTGTCCCATACACAACACATATCCTAACAGCCTAGATCAAAGAGTTGTACTTTTCCAATTTGTATTCCGAAGTGATAATTTGAAATCCTACGGTCCTATACCTTCTAGCGATCATGTCTGAGAGTTCCCCGCCTCCTAGTTTCCCCGCAAACCAGTGGACACTAGATTGGATTCTTAAACTGACACTTTATGCGACTCCGCAGGTTCGAGAAATCGCTGTATGACCTCATACGGGGTCTGCGGAATCACAAGGGCAATGAAGTCGAGTATATACAGGACAGCATCAGGGAATGTCGGTTTGAGGTGAAGTCGCAGGATATGGGTTTGTAGTTCTCTTTTATATGCCATTTACACGAGCACTTCGATTGACCTATTCCTTGAAGATAAAAAAGCAACGGCTCTGCTAAAATTGATATACCTGGAGATGTTTGGATATGATATGTCCTGGGCTGCATTCAATGTGCTCGAGGTTATGTCTTCAGCGAAATATCCCCAGAAGCGTGTCGGCTATCTGGGAGCGGTCCAGAGCTTCCGTCCCGACACAGAAGTCCTTATGCTGGCTACCAATTTATTAAAAAAGGTAGATATGAAATACAAGTATATGAGTATATTTATATGCAGCATAGCACACATATCTGATTCCTCGTTATTTTAGGATATGGTTTCACCTGCGGTCCCAACGATGTCATTACCTCTTCTTACCCTGCCGCATATAATTTCTCCTTCACTTGCTCTGTCGCTTCTGACAGACGTATTATCCCGTCTATCTCACTCCCACCCTGCAGTCCGCAAGAAGGCCGTGGTAAACCTGTACAGGGTTTCTTTAGTCTATCCAGAAGCATTTCGAATTGCCTGGCCAAAGATCAAGGAACGTTTAATGGATGATCAGGAGGATAGCAGCGTTACTGCTGCTGTCATTAATGTTGTCTGTGAATTGGGCTGGAGAAGGCCTCAAGATTTCCTTCCTCTTGCACCTCGACTATTTGAACTTTTAGTTGATGGGGGGAATAATTGGATGGCTATTAAAATTATCAAGCTTGTAAGCTTTGCTCCGATAAGTTCTGATGGACGGACAACGTAGCTAATATATATAGTTTGCGTCATTGACACCCCTTGAGCCCCGACTGGTTCGGAAACTTCTCAGGCCCTTGGCTAATATCATTCAAACAACGACAGCGATGTCCTTACTCTACGAGTGTATAAATGGAGTAATTCAGGGGGGGATTCTTGACGGCGCTGAAGGGGTGCGGGAAGGAGAGGAAATTGCTAACCTGTGTGTGGAAAAGCTTCGTGGCATGATTGTCATGGCAGGTGATCCAAACTGTAAGATCTTCCTTGATCATTCATGTAAGATCGTTTGAAATCTAACGATCTATAGTGAAATACGTCGCGCTTCTTGCATTCAACAGGATTGTCGCCTCACACCCAGCGCTGGTGGCTATGCAGCAGGATGTCATAATGGATTGTTTAGATGATAACGATGTATCCATCCGTTTACAAGCACTCGAGCTTGTATGCAGGATGGTTACCAGTGATACTCTACGCCCAGTGGTCAACAGGCTAATCACTCAGCTGCAAACGTCCCCCACACCAACGGATGACGTTCATATTAGTTCTTCAATGTCCGTTGGGGTAACTCCGTCGGCTGATATCGATGGAGATGACCCTGAGGAACAACTACGGTCGATCAAAAAGAGGAATGATTCCGTACTCGCCCTCCCCAGCCACTATCGCATCGAAGTTCTACATCAAATACTAGATATCTGCTCACGAGATACATACTCATTAATTCTAGACTTTGAGTGGTATGTTGAGGTGCTTGTGCAGCTAGTTCGCCTCATCCCACCGTCAACTAGCGCGTCAGAAACCCAGTCCTCCCATAAGGGTGATGTTGCCTCTCGAATTGGGTACGAACTCCGCAATGTTGCTGTGCGCGTAAAAATCGTGCGACCTGAAGCCACTCGAGCGGCAGAATCGTTAATATCGATCGACAATCGAGAGACACTGTTCCCCGCCGCGAGCGCAGCTGGGACAGATATCCTCGAACCTACTGCTTGGATAGTTGGGGAATATGCGGAATACTTAGAATTCCCTGACCGTACACTAACCTCCCTGACTCACCCTTCGAACATCTCATTATCTAGCATCGTTTTATCGTCCTACCTTCAGGCAATCCCTAAGCTTTTCGTTTCTCTTTCGCCGAACTCCTCATATGGATGGGATTCTTCCAGACAAAGCGAGGCTTCACTTCTTCTGGCACGGATCATTGACTTTCTGGAGAAGTTATCATCTCATCCGGACCTGGATGTTCAAGAACGTGCCATTGAATTCCTTGAACTTCTCCGTCTCACGGCAGAATCGGTTTCGTCACAGGATCCAACTAGCACTGATACGCCTCTACTACTCTCATCAGCTATACCAAGCCTATTCACGGGCCTTGAACTAAACCCAGTCGCTGTAGGTGCTCAGAAGAAGGTCCCGCAGCCTGAGAACCTTGATCTGGACAAACCCCTGAACGACCGACTCCCCTACATCCTACAAGAGTCAGAGGAAGGTTGGTTGGATGTATCCGACCAAGATGTTTTCCGGGACTTCTACTACATCCCTGACGCTGTCAGCGTTAAACAGCAATCCTACACCAAAGAAGTACCAAACACGCAGTCAGCAGTATCCTACCAAAATCTGTCAGACGATTTCGCGGAAAGCGCAGAGGCCAAAGCTCGACGACGGGCCGAGCGGAGAGATCGCAACAAAGACGACCCATTCTATATAGGGCAGGACGACGCGTCATCAGGAACGTCAACTCCTTTCCACCAGTTTCTTCGAACATCTAACGGCGAAGAACTAGACATAGATTCCATTCCAATCATCGACCTGGCCATTGAAACTAGTAAACAAACAACGTCAGCCACACTATTACCACCACCAGAAGGTGCAGAACGTAGACCCAAAAAACCCCACTCAAAGCCTAAAAGAGTAGAAATCATGGGCGACGAAACGATAAACGTCACAGGATCCAACGACGGCGTCACAACAGAAATCGCCTCCGCAACTGCAACAGCAGAAACCCTCAAGAGCAAGATCAAGCGCTCCATCCTCGAAGTAGATTCGAGCGGGCTATCCAATCTGTCCCTCGAAGAAGCTAGCGGGCCTGGGCCGGGGACAAGGGGCCTGAGCGTACACGACATAGCGTGCAGGGAGGCGGAGGATGCGGAGATGGCCAAGGCAATGCGGGAGATTGAGCGGTTGCGGCTGGAAATGCAGCGAGCGTCAGAGCGGGTGCAGGTTGCGCATGGTGTGCCGCCAGAGGGGACGCTTGTGAAGCGGAAACAAAAAAAGAAGGCAGAAACTGCGCCAGCGTTAGGTGCAGCGGCAGTGTCGAAAGTGACGACGAAAACAAAGAAGAAGAAGGCGAAGAAGACGACGAAGAGGGAGGGGGTGGGTGATGGAGATGGTGACGGTGGATCTCTGGTACAAGATGCTGCAGCTGGCGGCTCGGGTGCTGTGACCCAAGGTATAACTGGTGACACGGAAGTTAAGCGGAAGAAAAAGAAAAAGGTTTCATCTTCATCCTCCAAGCCCTCTAAGAAAAAGAGGGACAATGCTGGTGTTGAGACTGAGGCTGAGGCTGAGGCTGAGGCTGGCGCTGGTACTGGTGTTGGTAATGCAATGATCGAGGCTTCATGACCAGATGAATTACCATGCAGGGACATGATATGTATATCCAGAGTGCTAATTTAATAGCAAGCAGTACGCACATCTACGTAACTCCTGGAAGCCATACGTTTTGATACTCCTAGTGAATGAAGATATTACGTAGTTAATTAACTATGAAACAATAAACTAGTTAGTTGTCAGTGTGTGTAAGCAACACGTAGCTAGATCACAACAACGTTCTCATCCAACACTAGTTACATAACTAAACAAATATTCGAACTAGTTAGAAAGTCAGTATTACTAATAACAGCACAAAAAAACAGAAATCGATGAAGCATACCATATGTGTTCTTCTTGTTTTAGTTTTCTTCCGCCATCTTACCTCAATCAGAACGTGGAAATAGAAAAATAAGCCCACAATCGGGCCATCGACTAAAAGAACCAAGCAGACGCAGGCGAGGAGACGAGGGGATATGCGAGCTGTATGATAATATTCATTTCATTTAAATATCAGAAAATAAAAATACACCAGTATCCCAAACAATAGATAATGAATGATACGAAAGGAACTTGGGCACAAAGTATAGCAAAGGGTATTTACAAACACAATAAAGGATAGCGAAATGGACATTAGGGAAGTAAAAGGTGCACCCAAACCACATTTACGAGTGTCCGGATTCGAAAAGAGAATTGAGAGAAGACGCCACTTTTTAGAAGAAAATTAAAAACGGGAGGCAGGATGGAGAGAGATGGTTGGACACGCTGGAGGCGTTAAAGAGGTTGGAAAATTGGACGTGAGATGATGAAGATGCCCCCCCTCTCTCTCTACCAAAATACAAGAAAGATATTAATAGATCCAAGGGGGAAAAAATCCCCCTGCTCCGTTACATCACCCTTAACTCGTCCGCTTAGTCAAAAACGCTGAAATAATCCCCCACAGCTCAGGGACAACTCTGAGCAGTTCAAAGAGCATACCACCACACACGACGAAGGCGAGGACGACTATTAAAACCAACGGCCACCTGTCAGTTCTGGTTGACAACCCCAACAGCCATTGAGCACGTATTTATATATTCTATAGGGGTGACATACCAACCCAACCTACCGGTATAGGCGATTTCTTTGGTTTTGTCTTGACGCCCGTATCTGGCTTGCCGCGCTTTGCAGCCTCGAGTTTGGCGTAGCGCTCATTTGCGCGGCGTTGTTGGGGGGTTTGGGCCTGCAAATGCAGTGGGGGTCTCTTAGCATTCTTGCATAAAAATGGGAGGATGGAATAGACCGTGGGATATATGGAGATACTGATGTTGTCACATACCATTATGAATGTTGGGGAGGTAGCTTCGTAGAGTAAGGGAAAGGCAGGTTGCTGGGTCCGCTTCGGTGCGGATGCGTGTATGCGTTATATATGTATAGGTGTTCAAAATAGGTAACGGGATAAGGCATGTGCAAGCGGAGGCCAGTTGTCGAATATCGAATACACCACGTTGCGACTATAGGGAGATACGGGCCAGCTGTCCTCCTGTTTCGTCGGGTTTTTGGATGTTCACGGAGGAAATTCTTCGAAGGGTTATATAATAGTACTTGGATGGGCCGGAGGTCAATTGCAGGGTATCATACTGATTAACTATATAGAGGCTGTATTGCCCTCAGCAAACGGGGGGGCTGAAGTAGCGTAATTATGTACCGTTGTACCGTATTCATACATGGCCACGTGATGTGGTGACCAGCTTCTTTTTGTTGGTTCGAACAACAGCAAGATTCAACATTTCAGAGATGCAGCAAGAAAGGGTGTAAGGTATATTTACCTAGATTATACGTGTGTATGTGAAGAGTGCCCCCTCGCGCTCCCATCCAGTCACTATGCGGCGAGCAAACGGAAATCCAGCGTCTGACACAAAGGGGACTCCCGAGTCGCATCTCGCCCAGGTACGTACATGCTATGCTGTATGCCCGCTCCCTCCGCATTCTGCATCCAGCATCCCGCTCCGTTTCCACCTCCGCGTCCTTTTACAGTTTGCCGCCAGCTTAGCAGCTATCACATTATACTAAAAAGTTCACCCCCATATAGGCATTCATAGACGTCGCAAAGTCAGTATTCATTTCTCCATGAAACTTATTTTCCAATTTATCGATAAATCCCCGAAATCTAACTAATGTACGCTTTTTCTGTTATGGGTATCCAGTGGTGAAAGAACAGCCTCAGCCCTTGAGAACCATCTCACCAGCCTCGAGGCGAAACTAGACGCTCTCCTGGCGGCCGTTGAAATGGCAGGAAATCCAGAAGCCCCAAACTCAAATTCAAACGACAACCCCAATACCGAAAATGGCACCGATTCACGGAGCACCGAAGAAAACAACACCGCTACCTCGAAAGACAACAGCGATCACTCAAACACACGTTCCAAATGAAACACTCCATCCCTATCCTTCTCCACAACCCCAACCTCCGTGATAATCCCATCAATAAGCGATGCAGGCGTGACATCAAAAGCCGGATTCCACACGTCAATCCCATCCGCCGCAACGGTGATAGTCTCGATAGCACCCAACCCATCCTGCTCTCCTCCAACCCGCGGCCCCCGAATCCTCGTCACTTCCTGCCTAGGTCTTTCCTCAATGGCAATACCCTCCCCACTCTTCGTATTCATATCGATCGTCGTCCGGGGAGCCGCAACGAGGAATTTAACCCCATGATGTTTCGCCAGAACTGCTAATCCGTACGTCCCGATCTTATTTGCCGTGTCGCCGTTGGCAGCAACGCGGTCTGCGCCGACGACGATGGCGCCCACGCCTGCGCTTTTGTGCGCGAGTAAGGCTGCGGCCATGCTATCTGTGATGAGCGTGGCCGGTATGCTGTCGTGGACGAGCTCGTAGGCGGTAAGGCGGGAGCCCTGGTTGTACGGGCGTGTTTCTGTGCAGTAAGCGTGTTTGAGGGAGTTGGCCGCGTGCAGGGAGCGGATGACGCCTAGAGCTGTTCCGTATCCTGCTGTGGCGAGGGAGCTATGTTATGGTACCACCCTGTTAGAAAATCGAACTTGTTCGCAGACAAAATATATAAATATATAAGAACAATAAAATTAGAATAAAATACATACCCAGTATTACAGTGGGTCAACACCGCAATCTTCCCCTTCCCCTCAGCCCCATCAATAGCCTTCTTCATAATCCACTTCGCCCCAAACTCGCCAATCCCATGATTATCCTTCACATCATCCTCCAACATCTTCTCCGCCGCCCGAATATACTCCTCCGCCACCTCCCTTCCCATCACTCCCTCCCCACAACTCCTGGCAACGACAATCTTTCCCAACCTCCCCGCCGCCTCCGCCAAATTCACCGCCGTCGGCCGACTGCTAACTAAATACTCCAACTTCTCCCGTATAAAGAGCTCAACCTCCTTCGCCTGATCTGAGAGTTTGCCCTTCTGTATTAAATCGTATAATTCGATGGCGAGGGATAGGGCTGCTACGATGGCGATGGCAGGGGCTCCGCGGACACGCATGTCGTGGATGGCATGCCAGGCGTCGCATGCGGAGTAGATAGGATCATATGTGGTTTGGTGGGGAAGGAAGAGTTGGTTGAGAATCGAGAGTTTGCCGTGGGAGTAGGAGATGGCGATGAGGGGCATTTTTGGAGATAGAAATGAGGGGCAGCTCTAGAGCGCGTATCATTTGGGTATTATAGGCAGGTATGGGTGTTGGTATTCTGTTCAGAAGATTGAGAGAACTTTATACCTGAGTGCATGTGTTGTAGTCGTTGTAGGTGGTGTTTTTGAGCTGCGGTGTTTGTCTATTCTGTGTTTCATGGCGGGGTGGTTGGAGGGGCATTTGTGAGATGTCTTCATTTTCTATTCGAATTTTGTTGTTCTGCGGGTCCCCAAACGCTTAACTATAATATTTATACCCCCACAGCTTTTATACTGGACTGAGCAGAATTCTGAATATTCAGCAATGACATCTGGACGGAAGAATTTAAACGATTAGATTTGTATGGGATTGTTATTTTTAATTTTAACTCAAGATTATAATCTGATAATCGCTGATGCAACATGCCACGTCTCCGCAATGGCTAACGATTATTGACCGCGAGTTGGTATCAACTGCAATATGACATACATGACGGGAATTGCGAATGCATGCAGATAAATAGGCTATGGCTCCACGTCCAATTCCAGAATATCCCTATCTATACCCATAGCCATATCCACAGCATCCTGACTATAAGACGCAAAATATGAAGACCTCCTTTCAACCCGCGATCAACGACCCCCATGTACAAAACCAAATTCGAGGTGAAATGAGCAGTCGTTAAGTTGTCTCGAAGAAGGGAGCATGATAACACAATGTATGATTTTGAAATGGTCCAACCATATTCAGTCCTCTACGCCGACGCCATGGGCCAAGTGCAGAAGCACAATAAACCGCATATCCCTTTGTATGTAGAAAGTAGCCATAGAATCGTACAGTATAAGCTCCATTTCCCAAATTCAAGTATAAGAAATAGATATTCTCATTCCATATTCAATGCAAAACGGCCATTTGAGGATGTAACCAGAAAACTGAACGAGCATCCAAACAAGAAAGATATATGCTTCACGTAGAGAAGGGGAAAAAAAAGGAAACAGTAAAAGTTGCTCATTGGCGCGTCTTGTGCGATAACAATCATAGTAAATACGAAGCTGGGAACGGCGTGGTGGTTTCTAATCGGCAGAAATATAGAGCACTTATGGTTCGGTAAACAGTCAGCAAAGGCTCCTCCATAATCCACTGCATATGATATGATACATGTTTGAAATGTAGAATGAATGATACCATTATTTCCCCTCACAAACGCATCGCCATAGCTCCGTCTCAGCTTGCCATCGACATACTCCTCCGTCTTCTCTAGGGCGATGTTCATATAGCCGTCAACGGACTGCAGCTCGCCTACATGGAACCAGAATCGCACAGCAGTTAGATATGGTGCCCGAAAATATTTATGCTAAGCAGAACATACCTTTGTAGACCACTCCAGAATTCAATTTGACTGTGACGGGGGCGCCAGTGATCTCAGTCAGAAATGCGGAGGGGTCTTTGCCCTCGGAGGCGCCGTTTTCCATTGCGGTTTGTTGCTGTTGTTTCTGATGGTATTATATGTGGCGGACCTGAATGTGAAATGGGTGGAGCGGTGGGAAACGGAGAGAATGAAGAAGGGAGCCGTACGGAGTATTCTTTGTGTTAATCTATACTGAGGTGTTGTAGTTATTTAGCTGATCGATGGATGTGTTGAACCCAAGCGGCAACATTTAGTTTGTTTTTGGCATAATAAGCTTCACTTCGTCGCTGAAATTACACTCAATAGTCGGCCACAGCACAGGCTACAGCTACAGGCCTGCGAACAGTGGCCTTAGGTCTTGCAAGCCCCGGGGGTTTAACTATATCTAGGGTCGTTACGGGCTCCCATGGTGCTGCTTTTAAACAACCCTCTCAGGGCGGGTTTCCACGACTTGGCGAACCAAGCACTCCAACTCAACTCGACTACTGTACAAACACACTGCAGAACACACCAGAACACACCAGTCTTCGAGCTTTTTATTTTACAAACACCCTCTCTGTTTATGTCGAGGGCTGCTATGATAGTACAGCTCGCGATAATGCCTCTTTGACACTTCAACTATTCCCAGTCCGCTCGAGGCATCGACCGCATCCCTCCGCCACACGCGCTTGTGGAGTTCTAAACTGATCTACCAGACAGACCAATTGAAACAGGATAGTCCATACACACAAGTTACGAATACCATAAATTACCATGAGATCCTTCTTCAAGAAACCAGACTGGGCCAAGTTGGACGGTATTCTGGGGCAGTCGGCTGAATTCTACAAGCGCTCTGAACAGGTCCTCACAGATATAATATCTAAGCAACCAGAAGACGAAAATGAAGAAGATGATAACGACAAGGTGGACGAGGAGAATCGGCAGGGGGAACAACGACAAGATTCGCACCTATGCGGCTCCAAAAGACGTCGCCTCTCAAGGGAGGAGAGTAAGCCTCCCTCATTGTCGACAAGGTCATCGAAGACGGCCCTCGAGACGGGAGAAACGAGGGATACCAAGGAAACACTACAGCCACTGCCAGAAGCAGTTTCACATGAGCAGGCAAAGAGTCCTCCTAGGAAATTAGACAGCGTACTACCTGCTGTGGTAGAGGTCGATTCAGATGGCGATTCAGATTATTTACAGCCCAAACCACCAACAAGTCGATTATCGAACCATGAACTGTATGAGGGCAAGGATGGTAATAATGACGAGGATGATGGTGATGATGACGACCTATACCCAGAAGAAGAATATCCCGAACTAGCACGTAAAGCCCGCGAGAGAGCACGACAACATGCTACCATCTCAGAGGGCAACTCTGTCCATAATACAAATGCAGCACTTGGAAATCACAGAACAACCCAATCCCAAGCTTACAATAACATATCTACAGCATCCATCAACAAACCCCCAGATGAGCCCAGCAAAGACTCAGGCCCAAAAGTCAAAATTCTTATAACTTCAAACATCCCAGATACCAGGCCGCTAATAGTGCAACGGCGGCTGCACCAGGACCTGCGGGACGTGCGCAGAGCCTGGTGTCACCGCCAGGGATTTGATGTGGATCAGACTGCGACAGTGTTTCTCACATGGAAGGGGAGACGGCTCTTTGACGTCACGACGTGCAAGAGCCTTGGCGTCCAGGATGAGAGAGAAAAGCTACCACTACCATTAAGGGATTACTATGATGACTCAGTCGACGACAGCTCGATAGCAGTGCACATGGAAGCGGTGACGGAGAAGCTATTCGAAGAGCAGAAACGACAATTGAAAAAGGCATCCCTCCGTGAGTCAAGGAAATCAGCAGTAGGAGAACTCGAAGCGGAAGACGACAACGACGACAATGATGAATCAGAAGTCCAAATAATAAAAGAAAAGGAAAAAATGCTTTTTCTGACCTTGAAATCTCCCGGCCTTGAGGAGCTCAAGGTCAAAGTTCGCTCCAAAACACTTATCTCGGCGATTATCAAGAGATTTTACGAGCAGAGAAGGATACCCGCCGACAGGAAGATTCAATTGATATTCGATGGTGATGAGTTGGATCCGGAATCGACGGTGTCGGATAATGATATAGCGGACCTCGATGCGATTGATGTGCGAATTAAGTGATGGCGATAGCACAAGATATGATATGATTGATGATGTCCCTATTACAGCGGTTAAAATTTATTCCTCTAATTTGATTTATGCGCTACTGTTTGTCATTTAGCTCCATAGATTTCCATACATACATACGAAGTAACTAAGCTAGCCGGTCTATATTTCGACCAGATCCTTTTTCGACCCCTCTATCCAAAGCAACCCCTCTTCCTATTTGAGTAAATATTTAACTACAAATTCAATCTAATTGCCATTCAAACATGCAGGCTTCCAGACCTGCTGCTAAAGCTGCTGCTGCTGCTGCTTTTTTAGCCTCAACTTCTGGCTCCTGTAGTTGTTTCCTGGCCTCTAGAGCAGCAGCTTCCTCTTGAGCCTTCTTAATCCTTTCTATATTGATAAACTGGGTATTTGGATCAACTTTCACCTTCTTTTTGGTTTTTGACTGCTGTAGAATCTCTAGTTGATTAGAGAGTTTAAAAATTGTAGACTGACTAGTAGCTTGTAGAGCATTCAACTCACCAATCACCTTGCTAGCTTTGCAAAGAAAAACTCACTGCTTTCTTGTAAGAATTCTCTACTTATTCAACTGCTGCAGAGCCTTATATATATGTCTAGGATCTCAGGGGGTTGTAAGCAAGGGATCTTGCAGTTCAGAAGATAGAGAGGTTGTTGATGTCATCAGCCTAGGGTTAGATTGACCCTGATCTTGAACCTGAAAGGAATCTAATCCCTTGGAAGGATTAAATGGCACTAGACCAGCTGCTTTCCACCCTCCACATATATTATAAGATTCTAAGGTCTTTGAATGTGCTTGTTCATATGCTTGTATGAATCTTCTTTTCTTCACAGGAGCTGCGTCATCCAGATAGTTTAAGACAATGATCTCAGCTCTATAGTAGCTCTTCATGGGTGAAAAAACTCCAAGATTCAATGACTAAAGAACATAAGATGTATAAGCAAGTAGAAACACTAAATGAATTAAAATTATATAACATTCTCATAGAAATTCAATAGTGACATGACTGCTGTGACCATCCAGCACTAATAATCTATGCTGATCTTCCTTAAATGTTTGAGATAGAAAACTTGTATGTAACCAGTTGAGACATATATTATTCAATGTTCATCCATTATCTGATGTTGTATAGGTTCAGTTGGGTATATCCACATCCTCAAACCAGCTAGATTGTGCATTTTTGACCTTGAAAAATGACTAGAGGGTCTATATAGTGCTCATCAGCACTAATAGCTTCAAGAATTGAAACCCACTCATGATTAGAGGGAGATTTAATGTAGGTTTTGCCTTTCCTTCACTCAGCAAGCACTCTGGTGTTTGTACATACTCCTAAAGCAATACCATGCTCATCCATGTTCCATATATTTTCAATAACTATCCCATGAGTCTGTTGTGTCTCAGAAAAGTAGTTATAGAACTGCTGAAGTGTTTTCTGCTGAGTATTCTCTATTCTTTGAGACTCAATCCTTCAGTCAATCATAGATCTTATCATAGAATTTTGTTTTAGAAACTTTCTTATCCAATCCTTACTCAGTTGAGTGGGATCTCAATCCATTCATAGAATTTGAGTCGCCATTTCTCGTACACATGTGTGAGAGGGTGGAAATCCTTGTGAATCTTGCTCTTTTATCCATTGAACTAGAAAGATCTCTTGCTCTGGAGTCAACTTTTGTCAATGTTGATGAGCAATTGCTTGTTGAATAAAATCATTCTTTCTGCTCTTCAATATGCTTTGTGAGATGTTATATGCTTTAGCAGCAGCTCATTCAGATTGAAAAACACCATTTTTTAAATTCTCTATAGCAGCAGCTATAGCAGATTCATTGTTAGGCTTCATTTTAATAATGTGGTTGAGAAAACGCGTGGTAAAGGTGGTGAGTTAGGTTTGGATAGAATGGTTGAAAAAGGGTCTGGTCGAAATATAGACCGGTTAGCTTAGTGAGTATCTGCATATCTAGATCTGATAAGCGATAAGCGATCTTGGCCTATATTTTTTTTGTCTTTTTGACTTTTGAACTTCCCTTTGAACCTTATAAAGAACATTTACTCCTCCACAGTTCTGCTGAAACCTAATAGCGAAACGAATTCCTCGTACCAATATTCAATACAGATCTTCAATTACCCCCACAGTCATAACCATGAAAGTCCTAACCGCTAACTTCGTAACCTGCGCCGTAAAGGCCTGCAAAGGCTCTCCTGCCTCATTCCCCCTTCACTTCTCAGATGCAGAGCTCGAGCAAGAGGAGCTAGAGTTCCAAGCAGATTTCCTGCGCAATATCCTACCTCGAATAGATTGGGAGGCATTGGTGATGACGGCTAATGAGGTATGTTCCTCCCTTGCCCCCGGAGATTTTTGTCGCGCGACATCATCTCTTCCAGGAAGAAGAGAAGAAACATGCAGTGCAGAAATGCAAGTAATCGGTATTCTGCTGACCAATATGAAAATGTGTATAGCTAGGCTTTACCTCCCTAACCCCTTTGAAGCCTGAAGGCGACGCTGTGACAGATGACCTGTTACGCGAGCTGCACCGATTTCTGCTTGAGACCCAAGTAGTGGAGGGCAAGCTGGTCTGTGGCAGTTGCGGACATGAGTATCGGATTAAGGAGGGGATTGCCAATTTTTTGCTTCCGAGTCATCTTGGTATGTCCCTTACCTTTTGCATCTGAGAGGAGAAGGGTAGATAAGTCAGGAGAGGGAGCATATGGATGGAGCAAGGACACATCCACAATTGAGATCCTGGTGGGCTAACTATTCTTTCTATGATATCTAGTCTAATATGGGGGAAATTGACGGATCTCGATCATTGCTCTACCGAGTATCAATACAATCCCAACTATATACCCAATTCCTTGTTTCTATGAGCTCGAACCAGCCCACCCCTCCCGTTCGTCCCGTCCCATGTACCACATCTTAAACCTGCATGCGCATTTCCGTCGAGTCGACCGACCTTCCGGAGCGTTGTTTACCATTACCACTTCGTTGGATAATGCGTCGACGATGGAGCAAACACCTAAAGAAAATGGGACAATGGAGGACGCTGAAAAGGGGCGGCTTGACCGACAATTCTATTGTTGATTAGATGTCCCTTTTGCCCTACCGAGAAAGCAGAAGCAAAGGGAATGGATACGGCATTTAAGATGGGAAAAGCAGGATGGTGGGTGGGACTGCAATATTTTATAGAATTGTTTCATGTTGATTGGCATTTCATTCGATTTGAACTCGGGAAAGTCTGCTCCGAATAATCGTTGAAATTTATTTTATATATTTTCGACATTGGATATTGGACATTGAAATGGCTATATCTTTTCGCTTCGTTAAATAGAACAACCGCTGACTCCATTACCTGTAGATACAATATTGTTTTTGCCTTTTCCTCATCAGACAGAGACCTGTCGACAAAGACAGACAAGTTAACTTAGCCACCAATGGAAAGGAGTCCCAAACCCAAGGCCCTAGCTTCCCCTGTTTCTAACGTAGACAAAAAAATATGTGGGGCAGAAAAACTTGAAGCGGAAGGTGAAGAAAGAAAAAGATTAATATACAGCTAATATAAAAAACGGGGGGGCGAGTGAAGGAAATGATGAAATAAACCATCAATCACAAGAAAGGATCAACGTAGAAGGATATGGAGGAAAAGGAAGGATATAAAGAAACGGGAAGAACAAACGGCAGAATAGAAGAATACCCCTGATATAAACTCATCCATATGTCCTACCCTACACATCAAATAAAACCCTGGCGGAAGGGGATAAAACGTGAAATGAAATGAGAACCGAACATGAGTAAAGGTGCAAAAAAAAAAAAAAAAAAAAAAAAAAAAAAAACCCTTTAAAAAGGAAAAGCAACGCCGGGACATCCATTCTCCCAATAGGATAGTTACATCAGGACACAAAAATATAAAATAAAATAAAATAAAAATTCAGGAATAGCGACGGAGAAATAAGATAAGCAACGCCTCCTAGTAAACTGATATTTCGTCTTTAGTTTTTCTAGGATTTTCCTTTTCCCATTTTTCCCAATCAGATCGCAATTCTGCTGAAAATTATGATAAAAAAAAAAAAATCCTAAAGGTGAGAAGCACACAATTCGACGATTCGATACTTCGAGAAGAATGTTGGTGCTGTGGCAATTGAAGACGGAAAATAATAAACAAAATAATATAATATATCGTGGGTCTCCATGGCATCGCATCCTGGTTTTGGGGACCCAGTCAGGGAATGAAGAGAGGTAGAAATAAAAAAAGAACCGTCGGAGGTCCATTGTTAATTAAGGAAGCCTTTACATCCTGTTGAACCGCAGAGACAGGGGATTCTATCATCACTATCCCATTCTCGTTCGAATTTATAATCGTATGTCAGTTCTTCGTCTGTAGTCCACTTAATTAGTTTCTGCTCTAACCCACATAATATTGAAGTAATATGATGAGATAATGCGGGGGGAAGCCAACCTCGCTCAATATCCCTCAATGCATAAATAACAATCCTCTTACTGCCATCCACCTTAATAATTTTCGCCGTACAATTAGGCGTACAGCTATGATTAATAAACCTCGCAATCCCACCCCGCTTCGTCGCATCAATGACCGTATTCTCATCAATGCGGAACAGATAGCTGCTTCCGATACCGCTCTTGAGGTATCTCCGCTCACGCATATCGGCAACCTGCTGTCGTACCTTCTCACCAACATACTCGATTATCATGTCGTTGGCGGAGATGTTCTCTTCAGCATACAGACCCCAGTTGTGTATAGCGGAACGAGCAAAGCGCACGGGTTTCTTGCGTTTCTTGAGCTGGTTGAAGCGGAGTACGTCGCTCTCGCCGCTCTGCATGGGCAGGGCTTGTTTCTGTGCATTGATATCGGCGATAAGACGGCGGTTGTTCACGCGGGTCGAGCGGGAAGTGGATTTGGATATTGTCTTGGCGGCGGCGAGTCTGGCGGCTTCTGCGGCGGCGGCTTGCGGGTCTGCTTTCGCCAGTGCCTCACGTTCCTCACGGGCCTTTTGTACTTTAATGCGGTGAGGAAGGTATTTCGATTTTTCAGATTCGAGGATGCGTTTCCTTCCTTCTGTGCGAGCTGATCCGGTCGAGTTGGTGACGTAATAACCTTCGATCTTGGTTTCGGAATGGACGGGTCCTGTTTCACCACCACGATTGATAGCTTTGATTTCTTTTTGTCTCCAGGCCCAGGAGGATACGTTTCCGAGGTTCGATGGTTGTTGGTCCTCCAAGGCTTCGCGGAGGAAGCGGATATCCTCGTCATCTTTAATAAGATTCTGCCACCCGTCAAGATCCAGGATGATAGTTTCATCGTCCTCGACAGTTGGTCTAGGAACGTCTCTAGAAACGCCCCACTCAACTTCGGGCCTTGCCTCTTCAACGAATTTCGGAATAACATCTTCAATCGCTTTTTCTTCCTCCACCGGTGAAGTTTCAACCAGTATATCATCTTTGAGAGGAACTTGTTCAGCATTATCCAGTTGTTTTAATTTCAATGCCTCGCGCTCCTCGAAGATTTGTTTCTTGGACTTCTTCTTCGCTTTGGGCTTCTTGGCCTTGACCTGAGTGATTGGTTCGATGACTGCAACTTCCTCCAGCTCATCAACTCCGGGCTTAGTCTGCTCGCCAGGCTTCGAATCGATAAGGCCGAACAGCTCATCATCTTCCTTTTGCCTCTTACGAGCCTCAAGCTCTTCAGAAATCCTCTTTCTTTTCTTCGAGACAGGTGAGAGATTCAACATACTACGCTCGAGTTCGTCGACAGTTGCATCCTTAATAGTTTTGAGATCAATTTCCAGCATATCATCAGTGCCCATAGGTTCATCACCAAAGAGCCCCCGATCTTCCACAGTAGTACCAAACTCATCCTCATTCTCCGAATCAGACGAAGCCATACTCATGCGGCTGAGTGATCGACTCTCTTGCTCATCCGTGTCCCGAGTAAATGTCGTTCTCCGTTCGTCATCCGAGTCCTCATCTTCATGAAGCTGCTGTAGGCGATGGTAAAGAGGTCTGAACTCCCTTCGTCTTGGGGGACGCCTTCGCCGTTCATCCATGAAAGCGTCGTTGGCATTTTCCAAACCTTGTGTCTTGCGGATACGAGGGAGGGAGAGGATACTCGAAGGACCAAACGGCGCCCGGCTCTTAGCCAAAGGCACCTCGCGTGAATTTGGGATTCCAGCAATGATCTCGTCGGAAGTGCCAATTCGAAAAGCGGGCCGCTTATTACTATCGGGTTCGGGAATTCCTAATTTCTGTCTCCTAGCGGCATGGCGATCGGGTTCGAGGTAGTCGTAGAGCGCAGGAGCAGCTATTCGGGACTTGACATCTTCCAGCAGTTTGTCTCTCAGCTCTGAAACAAGAACACGAAGCACCTCTCGAGCTGGATCGAGGTCAGCTGCGCGTAGCTTTTTCTCCTCCTCAATATCCAATTCATCCTCTCTTTTTAGCCGATCCTTCTCTGCCTCTTCCTTTTGCTCTGCCTTGAGTCGCTCAGGACTTGGACTGCGGACGTAATTAGGATTACCGTACGGCTGGCTCTCCATGTTCATCACATATGTAAACAAAGCGGTCATATGGCACATTTTGTAGCATCGTTCCGTCTCCTCCTCACCCCTCCGGGAGTTCTCAAAAATTATGTAGTATCCGGTTTTGTCGCATCGAACAGACTTCCAATTGAAAAGTTTTAATCGCCTTTCCAGGTGAGGAATTGTAGTACGAAGCACAGGGACGTAGCAGTGTGCAATAAATATGTAAGGCTCACGTTTGATCTGGTCTAAGATGGGGGTCTCTTCGATCACGGAGGGGGCAGGGGGCTTCAGCGCAGCTCGTGGGCCTTCGGGTATAGGCAAGTTAGGTTTTCGAGAGGGGCCCTTGGGTGCTGTGGGCGGAGGAAGGTTATCGGTTTCAGGTGGTTTGGGTTTCTCTTCCAATATTACGGGCGGGGTATCCTGTTTCTGAGATCCGATAATCTTCGCAACGAGCCGGTCGCTAACGACACCGTCACGATCGAGGCTGACCTGTATCCGGCGCGTTCCAATACGCTGTTCCTTTTTACATTCGAGATACGCTCTTCGGGCAGCTTGCGCCGCGAGGAGAGGGCCGCCACCGCGAAACATTCTCGAATCCTTGTATCTTATGGAGCAGACACCCAGAAACCGACCTGTGTTAGGATCCGTCCTGTTTTTGATCTCTGCGATATCTCCAAAGCTGGAAAAGAGAGCGCTGATCGGTGCTAGAGTAGTCAAAGGGTCATAGCCGGTCACCACAATTTGTGTTGGAGGACCGGGTCCGACAGAAGTGGCGGGATCATACGGCCACGGACGGAGAATGTATGGCGCTGGTCGATATTTCGTTTTTTGTTTGCATCCTGCACCACGAGTGTAATTGGCAATCGCAAGGCGCGGGTCTGTAGGTGGTGGTTCATCTTCTGTGGTGCCAAAGACTTCATACTGCGGTTTTCGCCGCTTTTCTCTGGTGGCCGGTTTCTTTTCCAAATCGGGGTCATAGGTCAGTTTGCAACCCTTGGGGGCATTTCCAGCAGGTCTGGCTTGGCTTTGGGGAGTCGGGGGAGTCTGGAGAGGAGTGATGGTGGCTTTGACATCATCAACCAGCCGACTTGGGAGCACGGATTCGCCGCCCACAGCAATTGATTTCAAACCTGTTGACGGGCTGCCAGGTTTACACGGAGGTGACGAATCTGTGTTGGTTAGAGGGGTGAGGGCATGAGGGTGAGTTATTCCGTTTGAAATCGCGGCCCCAGGTTGAGGGAGAGAGGC